TGTTAAGATTTTATTGAACACTAGTTGTAGCATCCAGGGCGCACGTTTTCTACCCTCCGACGACTCAAGAAGCACCATGAAGTAGAATTGTTTTGGCCTTTGTTTGAACAACTGCCTACTTATGCATACCGGCCAACTGTCGATCGCGGATTCTATGGACACTGTTAAGATCTCAGAGAGGTTTGCTTGTGCCAACAAACTAAGCAAATGACATTTTGGGAAACTGAAGTAGGGCTATGGTCAACGGCCCATTTTGTATCTAATAGTGGGGGATCTAGGGGAAGAGCCTGGGAGGCCTGGGCCCCCCTCTTAGTTTTAGACCAAACTGAGGCTGCGCCCGAAGAGCCGAAAAAATTTTTTTGGAGACCACCCCTTCCCGACCTTTCTCAGGGTCTGGTTGACTGTGCGCGCCCCTCCCCACCCCCCCTTATCTAAAGGTCTGGATCCGCCACTTTATAATAATATAGCTACTACTCACCTGTGCCTCCAAAGCCTTTGCTTGCCTTGTAGTCCTTGTAGAGGGAAAATTTTATGGTATTTCGAGTCTCAAAATCTTCGATTAGCTTTCTGCTTCTTTAGCCCATCGGGGTCGTGATTTTGAAGCTTCTGATTTAGAACGGGGTATCCATTTCATAGGCGTTTTCTAGAACGGGGTATAAAAAATTGGCCCATTTCTAGAAAGGGGTATCAATTTATGGGAAATTGTTTTTAGAACGGGGTGCCCAGGGGGTGCCAATTTGGAGTCCCGGACGGCACATACCCACCCAAAAAATACCCAAGTGCCCCCCCCTCCCACCCCCGGGCTTGTACTCTCTCTATATATTTATCTAATTTTTTTGAATCATGTAAATCAATGTAGGGTACAGCTGGGTACAAATAAAGTTGTTGTTGTTGTTGCTGCAAGCATTCATTATTATTCGACAGAGACAGACATGACACACATGGATGATTCTCTATTTTCTACTTGGTGTTCCCGCCAATATTTGAAAAAGTTGTTAAATGGGGCAGCGGTTCATTTGAGTTTTATTTGTTGTTCGTGTAATTTCTTCATGAATGCCATTCGATCCGGGGCCATTCAAGGGATGTTACCAGTAACATCCGCTGAAAGGACCTTCTTGATGGATTGATGCGCTAAGAGGCTTAATCGAGGCGAAAAATTAAAACATCCTTTCCAAACAGATGCAGCGGCATCTTCTTGGTTGAATCAATCGAGGGATGATCGAAAAAGCAAGACAAGACCTCGAAACAAACATCAGATCATCAGACAAATCAGAGTGGACAATCGAAGCGAAGCTTACATGAGTCACTGAGAGAACCACGAGGCGAGCGTGACGTCATACGTTTACGAAATCCGACCGAAGATAGGAGGGCCTTTCGACGGATGTTAATGAGTGCTGACCGTCCAACAAACTTCCGCCATCTTGGAATAATTCAACCTCATACAGGCAGAGAGACTCTGGGAACGAAGACTATGGTGACGTAACGAACGGCAGGTCTGAAATGCAGGTCACTTGGTCACCATGATACAGATAAATGAACAGTATTAAAAGTGTCTCCTATCCCTAACCTTTTAGATCGAGGGGAATCTGTGTGGTTTGGTAATTTATCCATGGAGCAGTGACCTGTACTCTTGACCCGTGGAATGTGACCCTAGACCCGGCACCTTGCGGGCAAGTGGCAAAGCCGGTCAGTTGGAAGATCTGGACTGGACACAAAGATTATTCAAATAACTTCCCAGGAGCTATTTGATACACACAAACCCATCCTATAATATGTAAAAACTTGCAAATATTGAAAATCCCTGAAATTAGAAAGTTTATGTATTTATAAAATTGGCCTGTTTCACAATGTATTGAAAGAAATGTTTGGACACGTACCTGTCTAAGACTGACAAAGGACACTTTTCATACCATCGACGGGTAATTGGGAAATGCTTCAGGTAGTGAAAAATAATTCAAAACGGAAATTTAGGTGCATGACATGACAGTAAATTGCAAATGTTTGATACTTTGTAGTCTTGCTCCAATACAGATTACGCCGACTGTCTTTGCCTTTTTCCCGAAAATCCCGCTTCCAACACTACTTTTTATCGCTTTCCCAAATCCCGCTTTTTTTTCTTCAAAATACATACGCTAAAAAGACTAATTTCTGTCAAACGGCCAATAAATGACATGAAAGTGAGATGCAGATTGGCTCTTTCGATTATATTTTAAGTTTATACGCGTGTTTGAAGGCCATTGCAAAGAAGAAAGCGGGGGGGGGGGG